TATATATATATATATATATATAGATTAAAAGGCAAAATACTGAAAAACAACAATGTTTGTACCTAGAAATAGCTAGTCATCTATTTTAGCATCTGACCTACTTCTGTCTTTGCAATAATGTAATAGAAATGGAAATATGACAAACAAGAAATCACAAACCTTGCGTCATCTTCTCCTTAAGCGTACCATGGCAATAAATATGTGGAAGCTTTTCTTTCCACAATTATACTCCAGTTATGCAACTAAAGAAATAGGCCTAGCAAGTTGAGTGATTTTCTCGGGCTTATGAATATAACAGAAGCATGAAAAGGCTTTTAAAATTATCAAAGTATTGATACTTTTTCATGGAAAATATAAATATGGAAATACATATTTCTTTACAATATTATTATAACATGATCAGAACATTTACCGGTATGGTAAATGGAAACCTAACAGACAAGAAAAAAAAAACGTATACGAAACTAATCTATTGACTATACTTATTCCATAGATTTTTATTTGATTCAAGCATTAATAAAAATTATATCAATATATATAGCAAGAACCAAAAAAACGTATCTCAAACTCGGTCAACTTCGTAACATCTGCGTTGTTTCTGTAAAAAAAAGAAAAATAGCACCAAGTTATACAGTATAGTAACAATAACAAACTTTAATACTAATAAAAATAATTGTTAATAAACTAATGTTACAGTAATTTAAATAACAAATTGACTGGTTTTTCCAGATAAAATGTAAATTTAAAAAAAAAATAATATAATAATAATAATAATATATAACATTATATCATATTTTAGTATTTATTTCATTTGCTGTATTTGTTATGTAGTAGAAAGCGTAGGATTCATAAAACGAAAATAAAAACAATAACAAACTTTAATACTAATAAAAATAATTGTTAATAAACTAATGTTACAGTAATTTAAATGACAAATTGGCTGTTTTTTCCAGATACAATGTAAATAAATAATAATAATAATAATAATATATAACATCATATCATATTTTAGTATTTATTTTTATTTTCTGTATTTGTTATGCAGTAGAAAGCGTAGGATTCATAACAAAACGAAAATAAAAACCGTCCGATAATATTAATTGATAGTTTAGTAATAATAGTATTAATTTTATTTGCTTTTAAGTAGCCTGTTGTTACTTATTAGAAATACAACAAAACATAAATAAAAAATGTATGATAAACCGATTGACGAACTTGCAATGATAATTAGGCCTAGTTATATTAAATTTAGCGTTTCGAAACTCCATTGGCGCTCCATATATTTGTTGAAAACAAACCGCGACCGAAATGAAGCGCGACCGAAACGAAGCGCGACCGAAATGATCTGTATTCGCCTAGACTAGCTAGGATGGTATAGGCCTAGCCTTGAAGACGAAGGTCCCAATAAAAAACAACGTCGCTCTTTGATAGCTAACATTGTCTATTTAACATCACAATAATTCATTATTAGACCTATAATTGTTTTTTGAATTGTACTCCACAAATCTCAACCGATACCTCGCACAACTGGCTAACATCTCTATCTATTGTCGTGACGTCATGGCTTGTGATATGTCTCGCACTTGTGATCAAATAACACGCTGGCTCGCACTTTAGCAACACTCTTTGGCAGTCAACTCGCCCCTAAAAAACACGCCCTTGGAAACATGCCCCATAAAAAAAATGTACACTTCCTAGACCATGCAGTCTTCAAAATAAAAATTGTAACCTTTGGTAATCAACTACATTTTCCACATACATAGAAATTTTTGAAACTTTATTAAAAAAAAACCTAAACCATAATCCACCACACTATAGACACTTTTTTACAAAAATGAAAAATTACGACTTTGTTACCCAATGAGAAGTGTTCTAATATAGACAATGGGTTGTGTCTCATATTATTTGTTATAGTTTTATTATTCATTATTTTCACTTGACTTGCATAAATAATTTTGTTCGCAGAACATTTATGCAGTTGTACTTTGCAGCACTTCACTTGCAATTTGCAATTTCAAGTTTAAAAGATATTTTGTATATTGTAATTGTATAATCCTGTTGTCTCTAATTGACATGAAACAAAGTAGGCCTACCTAAACCTAGGGCCTAGGCCTATTTCCAGTGGCGGATTTGGGTGGGGGGACGGTACGCAAAGAAAAAATTACACCCACAGTGTTTAAGTCTTCTTTTCCTACCAAAACACCCTAGGAGAGTGCTATTCATAAATCCACTTGGTGAGAAATATAACACTTGTAATTAACTCAATGTTAATATACAGTAGCGGATTTTGTTATTCGCCATAATTCATCAAATATCCTTGGCCCCACCGGGGGCTCTAGGCGCCCCCCCCCCCCCCC